CTGTTTAAAACTTGTATATTTTTAGTTTTCATTTGCTAGCTACAATAKCCCTTTCATCAAGATTTTGATAATATTGCTGTTATGACTGACTTCCTCCCTTTGACACACGCATCCTTTTCATCCTCGGAGTTCCTGGGGAAGAGCTGCTACCCACATGCTTCATGTGTGGTCTGTAATCAGAAACTGCACTTCTTAGGTGTTTATTTTTCATTATGGCTGTATGGAAATTTTGCAGTTAGGAGATGAAAGAATTCGTGCCTCCATTAAATCTTCTGAGGAAATTACAGCACTGTGAGAGGTCGCAAGAAAGCTGCCTGGCCACCTTGACTCTGGATGCAAAACTGTAAAAGAAATATATAAAAGTAGGCAGGGTAAAACARTAGGATTGCATTGGATTGTAATTCCAGTTTTGACCACTCCTAATTAAAAAAGAAAAGRTCAAAAGTTAATTCTTCCTGAATTTTTTCTAGGGGTGGATACTTGAAAGATRATTCTTTTTCCTTAGAAGTAGGAGGTTAATCAAACAATTACGATCTGGAGGTCAGATCTGTARAAGAACTGCAGTGCTGCAAACCCTTTCAGAGAAGCAGTGTCTCTAGTGACGTTTCAAATGTTTTCACAAGTTAGGAAAATACCTTTTCTCCCCAGTTTTTATAGACCTGTTTAATAAGCAAGAGGCTCTGAGACCATCTTTATAAACCTGCAAACCTCTTTGCCTCTGCCCTCCAGAAGATTTCCTCTTCTCCTAGATCAGAGCAGGGTGTCTTCACTCTGTGATAATACTGGCCAATTCTGCTTTTAAGAGTCTTCTTTTAATTTGCTTAAAGAAATACAAGGGCTGTTTTCTTCCTTTTGATCCTGCCTTACTGGACTCCATAATTGACTCAACAGTTGGATGACTCCCGTGTCCCAAGGGAATTCTCTGCTAGGGTAGAATTTGGCAGAGCAAACTTTCATAAAAGCATCTTCTGGACTGAGGTGGAGCAGAACTGCCTGTTGTGAGTGCCAAGCTGAGGTCTGGTCCCTTGGGGAGCCTGTTTATTTAAATGAGTGTTTCTTGTGTTAGGGGAATCACTGCTCTGATTTACCCTGGAGCTGTGTCAGGGGAGTTTCCACTTGTGACTTGGAGAGCAGGAACCCGGTTCCTCCCACATGCAGATACTCCCCAGAGAAGGTGGGACTTGCCTGGAGGACAATGTTTTGGTCAGAGGTTATTGGCGCCACACAAAATAAAAAATAAATAAAAAAAAAAGGGAACAATCCAAAACAAGTGTTTAATTAGATTTTATCAGAAGAGCTGCCGGCTGAATGCACTGCCAGGAAACCTTACCTGCAGCTCTTCACTGCAGTTCCCCTCTCAGAAAAAAAGCTGCATGTTCTTATCTGTTCCCTTAGAGCAGCAGTGTGTCACAGCGTCTGAGTCTGGGGGCACACATCCAGGATGCTGTAAATGTGTCGCTGCCAAGTCTGTACATGCAGCTCATGTTTGTTGGCTGCTCCTCTGTCCATTAGCATTACCTCATCCCTGGAGCAGACCCAGCATAATGAAAGCAGTTTTAGTCCGTGTAATTCAGCTTTTGTTTTAAGAGTCCCCTGTATAAAAGGTGACATCAGCCCACACATGCCATGTACTCTCAACAGTTTTCTTCCTTTTCCAGTACCTATCTTGTTTGAAAGTTTTGCCAAAAGTGCTAAAGCCAGGTTTTTTATTTGTTTGTGTGTTTTTTAAGCCAAACTTCAGATCTTTTTGAATAGGAAAAGTCATAAATTCAGTTGTCTTCAAATCCATAAATGCAGAATGTTCTGAGGCACAAAACCAGCAGTGCAACACTTTCATCAGTGTGAGTGAGAAAAAGAGAGCACGCCTGTTTGATCCTGACTGCTAACAGAGGAAGAAGGGATCCAATATTGTATTTCCACCAGCCCATTTCAGCTTCTTCCTGCTTCATAGTAAAGTCGTGGCCCTGTAACAGGGAATCACTTGTGTTGCTCAGCAATTCTGTAGCTTTGTTGAGTTGTTTTTCACTTTTCTCTTTGTGCGGTTCTTAGGTGGTGTTTTGCCTTAGGTGAAAGTGCTGAGATGGCTGCAGCAGCCACTGGTCAGTTACTTAGAGCTGCCTCCAAACCCACTTGTAGCTTTATCAGGCCTTTGGCTTCCCTGTCGTGTTCTTTGCTGCTTTAATTGCACATGATATTTTGATTCATATCCTCCTTATGCTCAGCATGAGTTTCAACATATTCATGGTGGTTGGCTATAAATACACCAGAAGGCATCATTTTCTTTAGAATTCTTCTGCTTGCTGTTAGCAAGCTGTACCCGCCAGCCCTTCTTCCTCATTCTGATTGCTCAAGAGGATGTTAACATAGGTGCTTGTTAGGACAGGGTGGGTGGTGGCTTCTTTCTCAATTATGTTTCAGTAGCAAGTYGAATTTCTAGGCCAAGTAGAGACGTGAGTATATGAAAATGCATGATTACTGTGTGAGGAAGATCTCAACTTTTTTATTTTTCTCATTTGAGAAGGATGCAGAAACCATGTTTTCTGGATGACATTTTGAACAACTTCACGTGTTATAAATGATGATTTTCCTTTTCATCATGATGCAGGAAAGACAGGTTAACACACATGGATATTATTGGTATTATATTACAGCTCCTGTTTGTTGACTTTCCACATTGTCCAGCACACTTTTGATTTCCAGCAGCATGTTCTTTTACTTTTTGTTTATTTTTCTCCACTTCCAAAATCGAATAGTAGGCTAAGAGGTTGAACCTATCTAAAGCTGCTCGTTTCTTCCTGGAGAGAGGATGTAAGTCATAAAGAGGATAAGTTTAGAGAAGTTTAAGACAAATGGTCGGAGAATTGAGGTGTGTGGGTCCTGGAAGGATCATGATGTTGACAGCCGCGGAGGAAAGCCTAACAACACCTTTTAAGTGTTAATGGCAGAGGAGGTCAACTACCCAGAATAGCAGCATGATACAGGTTGAGCATCAGAGCACTCAGATAGAGCAGGGCAGGCAAAATGTTTCAATTATCTACTTAGGTTACCAATTATATTGTATTGGTAGCAATTTTCGTAATGAAAGAGTACATCAGAACTTCCTTAGTCAGTTGAAGACCTGACATTCTAGATACTTTTTTTAGCATCCGTKTTTTATCAGTGTCATTTTGGAAGTGTCAGTTACAGAGGCTGCTTTTGAACAAAGTTGGTCATTGGGACTCTCTGGAAGGCCTGGCACAGAAAACAGATTAATGTTAGTGTCTACAGTGTAATAAAAAAATAMATAAAACATAATTACATAGAAAATTCCATAATTCCACTGAAAAATAAGATGTCAGCAAGGGTGGTACCTAGGTTAAGCTACTAATGAATCCATGTGTCTTACCCTTATGTATCAACTGTATACCTAGAACAGAGCAGTTTTATTCTAGATAAAATTGCAGGATTTCCAAATATCGCAAAACAGCTCTGCTAAGTTTGGGTGTGGACCTCAAGAAACTGGATATTAAGGCTTCACACAGTTCATAACACCTTTTTAAAAGTTCGTACCTGCCAGATTTTAAAATGCCTAGGTGATAAAGACCTTTCTAGTGGGAGTTTACAAAATAGAAATCCCTAATCCCTGGTGCTGCCGTGTAACTGGAGCTCGTTGTGCAGGTAGGGGCTTGTAGGGTTCATCCCTGTGTCTGGAGTTTCCAGACAGAGTCGTCTATTTACCAATTACCTTTTTGGGAAAGAAACCACAAGAGTAAGATTTTTCTATATTAATTTAGGAGCTAAGAAAATAGTCTGTACTGAAAGAAAATCACAGAGTGTATTTTACATAGAAGTGACTTTATAAGGATTGTGAAAAATGTGGCAGACAATTTTCATGGAAATTACTAGCATCCTTAATAATAGAAATTACTAGCATCCTTAATAATAGAACCAGAAACACAGATCCCTGTTATATGAAATTAAGAGCCTTTGGGCAAATTTCATATAGAACTCATCAAAGCTTAAACCTGGCAAACTCCTAAACAAACACGAGGCAAACAAACAGCACTGTTTATATTCTAAAAACTACACTTGTGAAATTAAGAATAAGCTCAGTTGTGATTGCAATGTGAGACAAACAAACCTACTTTCAGCCATGTGCTATGGCCTGCTATTTCCCGGGAAAAAAATAAATCATATTATCTGTTGTGAGTTTTTTTTAATTCTGCTTTTTTACCGGCAAAGTCCTAAATCTTTCAGATGTGAACCGGACCCTGTAAAGTTTGTTTCACATCTCTAATGCATTATAGCTAAGTACTGTTGCATACTTGCCAGGCTGCTTTTGTCAAAAGCAACAATAAAAATCATCTGATGCATTTTGAAAACTATTAGAATCTTATTAGCATAACTCTGGTTGCTTTAGGGTATTACAAAAATAGCGCAGAACTCTGAGCGAGCTGTAGTGAAGAAGTGGCAAGTAAATTTATTTTAAAACTAGTAACTTTTTACACTTTCTTTTAAACAGGCTTCTGAGAAACAGTGGTCTGAAGAAACCTTCAGGAAGGAGACAGCAAGGAAACCTTGGCCGAGGGGGAAGCTTCGTCATGAATATACCGTGACCATCATGTCCCACTGAAATTGTTGCAAAAGGTGAATAAATTGTGGTAGCACCAAGCAGTTGCTTGCAAAGCAGTTTCTCCTCARTGTAGCAAGCAGCTGCTGTGAAGGGTCCTGTGCGGGAGACGGTTTCACGTTGTAGTGGAAAAGGGGGAAAAAGCAATTGCTTTTCAGGCTTTTGGGGGATGCTGTGGCCAGAAGTGGGTTCGGGTGCTGGCAGCCGGCGCGAGGGCAGAGCGGTGCGGGTGGCTCCAGGGGCTGCCGGGGTGCAGGTGGGCAGCGGGCGGCCTGGCTCGGCCCAGCTCTTCCTTGTGCTCCCGCAGGTGATGGCCGTGGCCGCCAGGCCGGCAGCCGCCGCGCAGGGCGCCGCGGCGCTGCGGAGCAGCTAGCGGCGCCGGCGCGGCACCATGGAGGACAGCGGCGTCGCGGCGGCCTACGGGGATGGGCTCGGCGCCCCGCCGGCGCCGCTCGCCTCCCCCTGCAGCCTCAGCTCCTCGCTGTGCTTTAGCGCGGGCGAGCGCGGTGCGCAGCCCCAGCCCCACGGCGCCGAGGACGGCGCCGGCCACGTGGTGGAGAGCCAGTGGGACATCAACAGCACGGCCACCGAGGCGTCTGAGGCGTCGGATGTCGGCAATGGCGATGGGGACGAGTCGGCGCCGCCCGGCCCACAGCGCCCGCCGTGCGAGGAGCCCGACCTGGTGATCGAGGTGTCGGGGCGGCGCATCCGCGCGCACAAGGCGGTGCTGGCGGCCAAGAGCGACTACTTCCGCGCGCGCGCCTCGCGGGACATCCTGCGCGTGAAGGGCGTGAGCTACGCGGCGCTGCGCCTCCTCATCGACTACGTGTACACGGCGCGCATGGGCGACGTGCGCCACGACAACCTGGCCGAGGTGGTGAGCGGCGCGCGGGTGCTGCAGATGCCCTGCGCGCTGCACTGCGCCGCCGAGGCCATGCGCGCCCAACTGCGCCTCGACAACTGCTACCAGCTGCTCTGCCTGGCCAAGAAGCAGCGGCTGGCGGAGCTGCGCGAGGCCGCCTACCGCTTCATGAGCGACCGCTACCTGGAGGTGCTGCGCGAGCCCGGCGTCTACGGCCGCCTGAGCGGCGCCGAGCGCGACCTCATCCTGCGGCGGCGCCTCGAGGCCGGGCGCCGCTGCCTGCTCGTGGCCGAGGTGAGCGACGCCTTCGAGCGGCCCGGCGGCGGCAGCCGCCCGCAGAGCCGCGAGAGCAGCCGCCCGCAGAGCCCGTCCTCGGTGGCCTCGCTCGAGGACRGCGGCGCCCTCGTGCACTGCTACCAGGAGGCCAGCCGCGAGTGGCGGGTGCTCACGCGCCTGCCCGAGGAGGCCAACGCCAAGGGCTGCGCCATGTGCGTCCTCCACAACTACCTCTTCCTGGCTGGCGGCATCGCGGCGGGGCCGGCGGGCGGCGAGCCCCGTGCCCGCCTCTCCGACAAGGTCTTCTGCTACAACCCCCTCACYGACACGTGGAGCCAGGTGCGCTCGCTGGCGCAGCCCCGCTCGCAGCTCAAGCTGCTGGCCCTGGACGGCTATTTATACGCCGTGGGCGGCGAGTGCCTCTTCACCGTGGAGAGGTACGACCCGCGGGCCGACCGCTGGAGCCCTGTGGCGCCCCTGCCCAAGGGTGCCTTCGCTGTGGCCCACGAGGCCACCACCTGCAAYGGCGAGATCTACGTGTCCGGTGGRTCCCTCTTCTACCGCCTGCTCAAGTACGACCCCAAGCGTGACGAGTGGCAGGAGTGCCCCTACAACAGCAGCCGCCGCCGCTCCGCCGACATGGTGGCCTTCAAGAACTTCATCTACCGCTTCGACGTGAGCAGCGGCCGCGGTGGCGAGCAGGGCCCGAGCGGTGGGAGCGCCGGCGGCGTTGAAGTCTTCCGCTACAACACGGTGGCCAAGTGCTGGAGCCAGTGTGCCAGCCTGCGGCCCAGCGGCGGCCCCGTGCAGCCCTTCCGCTGCGCTGCCTTGGGCAACACCATCTACTGTGTCAACCGGACCGGCACCCTGTGCTTCAGCCTGGCCCAGGACGGCGAGGTGGAAGCGGATGGTGGGCTCAAGGGCACCTTCGACAGGGAGCTTCTCAAAGCCCCCTTAGATGCCAGGGGCGTCCTCCTCCCGTTTGTGCTCACCCTGCCAGAAAAGCCGGACAAAGCTGGGGACCCGGAGGGCTCCCTTACACTGTGAGGTGACCACCTTGGCTCGTGCCTCCTTGGCAGGGCGCTGGGTTGTGGCTGTGGGGACCCACAAACTCCCTGCCACAGAGGGGACCCTTGGGGATGTTGGCAGAGAGAAGGGTCTCCCCCTTTGCTCCTCTCCTCTCCCAAGATGTTGGTCTGGAGCCACTTTGTGGTTGTAACTCTTCTCGCATTTGCTGGGTTGTGTTTGAAAAGCCAAGCAAATGAAAGGAAAAGCTGCTATAAAGGATCATCTCTGGATTATGTTTGTGCCAATTCCCATACTAAAGAGAACTTTTTTACACCTGAATTTCTAAAAATTCCTGACAACAGTGTCATAACGGGACGTCACAGGTAGTGTTGGTCGCACATACATGCCTAGTTGCAACCTGGGCAGGAGCCTTTTCTGCCATTCATTCTCTCCCCTGGATGATACCGAGTGATGAAAAGTGCTAGCAGTGCAGTTTAACTGAAATTGGTTCTATGTTAAGCCAACAGCACTGTGTTAGAAAGGTGTAGGAAGATTATCAGAATTGCAGCCTTTCATTTTTTTGTGCAATAGATTCTTTAAGGAAGACGTGACACTGTGGTCCCAGGAATTTCAGCCTCAATGAGTGATTTAACAAATATCAGACTTAAGAGTTTAAAGCAACACAAATGTGTGCCACATGTTCATATTTGGCATACAATAAAATAATAAAAAAGGCAAGTTATCTATTTAAAATATGGAAGCTGTAACAGATAGGAAGTGTTCATATGTTCTTTCCTGAAAAAGGTGATGATTTCTGTATAAAAAGACAATGTTTATTTTTTTTTTTATCAGAGGTTTTAAATTATAACAAAAATGAACCGAGGCTGTTCAGAGTGCAGCAGATTTACATGACACCATGTATGTCACTAGAGCTGGGGAAAGTATTTTGTAGTTCCACTGCTCTTTAATTAACTGCAGGTCAAGGAAATTAACCTAAACCAAATGTAAATTCTTTGCAGTTGACTGCAGACAGCATAAATCTTTCACTGTATGTTCAGTATCCAGTGGCAAGAGACTTTTCCAACTTAGTTAAGACCATCTGAGGAGGACGTGGCAAACAGGAATGTGCTATACATGTTGATTATATTGTACACGAGCATGATGTTGTTCCCCTGTCTTTTGATTGAGAGATTGCTTTATTTATTTCGACCTAATGATTGCTGTAATTAATAAGTACTCGTCAATTACAGTACCTGCTGATGACATACGCTGTCATTTGGATTTTGAAACTTCAGAGCATGTTGTGGATGGAGCAGCATCCGAACAAGATGAAACGATACAAAGGCTCTTCCTGCCTGTGGGAAGCTGGAGGATAATTTTTGTCAAGTTACTCAGAACTGGAAAAGCGCAAGCTGTCCTCACAGGCATCCTATATTAAAAAGGGCACTTGCATTTATTTTATATGTTTTATATATAAAAAAGAAATCAGTAGACAAGGCAAATGTTTTAGCTTTACAGTAAATCACTGAGAAACCTTTTTTCTTAAAACAGAAGCAGTGTTTTTACTATTCGTAATTCAGCCTGGAATTGGCATGAACTATGGAAGGGAATTGTTTATACTCAAAATTCTGGTATAGATTCATAGTCTAGAAAGACTTAGGGTCCTTACATCAAAGAACAGCAGTTCTTTTTATGTTTTAAGATGTTTTGGTTAAAGAGAATATAAACATGCTTATATCTTATTGCTAGTTCCAAAGGAAGGCAGCAGGCTCTGTCCTCAGGGACAGCATCTTCACAGAAAAAATAATGAAGTTCATAAATTCTTCTTTCCTTCACTGCTTTGATTTCCCCCCTTTCTTCTTTCTGCCTTGTGCAGTGTTTTAAAATAGTTGATCTGGATGGCCAAGCTCTAGGGAACAGTGGTCCAGTCCTAAAAGTTCTTAGCCAAGTGACCTACTTAGTGAGCTGATGGAAAACATCACCCAGATAGGAGCTGTCGGACTGCAGAGTGGTGCTTATCTTAGCCTGAGAACAGATTTGTGCAGGACCTTTTAGTTCCACAGATGGAAGATCTGTTGAAGGTACACTTTTTTTTTTTTTTTTCCTGAATCATAAACTTAATTCTCAGACAGCAATCCTTGGGCATGTTGACTATTAAAGAAAAATGATGCGTTTGCTTTCAGCATCTTTTTTTTTATATAAATGTAGAAAATATTTCAATTCTGTAGTAAAACACTTATGTACAGACTGAAACTCAAGGCATAAGTGCTAGTTTAGATTTTGACTTGGAAAAGACACCGGAGATACACAGTGAAATATCTGTTTTATCTTACAATACAGTACAATTTCCTATTTCAAAGTATTTTATGATATAGACTTTATACTACAGTATAATGAGAAATCAAGTCAGTTTTGAATTTTCATTCCTACCAAAGCATGAAAATGCTGCCAGATGACTTTTGGGAAGTTGCTGTGATTTAAGCTGCAGAAATATGCCAATAGACTTCCAGGAAAGAATGAAATATTTGCTTGCTTCCAATATTTGTCGCTCTTTATCATGAAGAAATATATTTGGAAATACTCTTTACATCAAGAAACATTCTGCAAATCTGCAGTGGTATTTTTGCTAGCTTATATCATTAGGAAAGGTTGTATCAAGTGCCTGGCCACTTTCACTGTTTACACAGCCTAAGTGGGAGCAGAGTCTGGTCTTCATTAGTAGCTGTCGATGAAACCTGTTTCCTTTATATGCTCTTTGCATAATTGCAGCCTGGCGACTGACAACAGGAGTGTGTTTCCAGCTGCATTTCCTATTCCGTGGCTTCTGCTGCCTCCCTGGTAAACCTGAGGCAGGTCTGCTCTGAGCTGCATTCTTGTTCTCCCTGCCTACCTCCCACCCCAGTTATTTACGCAGTTCCAAGTGCAAATCAAAAAAAAAAAAAAAAATAAAGTATTAAAACCAGGTTAAGTAGATTTTAGGCACTGAGGACCAAAATAGTCATTCCTGAACTCTCCAGTTTAACCTAAACCAGGTAAGCTCCATTCCCGTGATGTGCAGAAGTGCTAAGTGGTTCCTGTCCACACATTCAGACGCATCAAATTCACACACGTTGCATGTGAAGAGGGAGATGGATCATGTACTGTTTCTTAGCATGCAAAGATTCGATCCACGTCTCCTACTGCCTGATTGGATTGGAGGATTTCTGGATGCTGATCCCTGATCTCTGAAATGTTTGTGCATTTTGCATTATTCAGTCATTTGCTAAGCATCTCAGCAATGATCCAGGTTACCCATGAAGCAGTGTTATTTGAGTCCCCATCCTCACTGAGTGATTTGAGCCTAGCTGGACAGGYATACTCCTCTCTGATGGCTTTCTTCTCCATTAATTTTGCCATTCCCTTCTCCAGAGGAGACTGTTTTTTCCTTTTTCTTCTTCTCTAGCATACTTCTCTTGTTAAGGTGCTCTGCTAAGGGACATCATAAGTTTSAATTTTCTTGAGCTGAGTAGCGACTGAGCTTGAGCCTCCCACTTTATGTGTATGTATCCTTAACGCTAGAAGATTACTTGGAAGAAGATCCCAGGGACCACCTTTTTAAGGAAAAACTCGTCCAAATCCTTCAAAAACACACATAGGCTTCTTCAATCTTTGTAGATTCTGGGCCCCAGCTCCTGCGTGGGAGAGGGTGCGTTTTCATCACATATTGGTGCAGTCGTGTTCTCTAGAAAGCTTTCCAGACAGTATGTGTGTGTGTGTGTGTGTGTGTGTATATATATACACACATATTTACATATACATACATATATATATATATATCAGACCCCTTTTAGCAAATGTTATTAGCAGATGGACATTTACTATTTCCACCTATCAACTGATCAACTGGTTCCACAAAAAGAATCTCCATTTCAGCAAAGCCATGTGTATAAACCCTGTTTACATTTGGAAGTCAAATCAAAGGAATAATTGGCTCAGGAATAACCCAATTTGATCAAAAAAGGCTCTGCTAAACATGGGAGAGATGCTAGTTATACCCTATTAATGAATAAAGTTGTGCAGTAATTGATGTAACTTTTTGTCCACAAAAACAAACAAAAAACCCTGTAAATAAGTACCTGGCAGAATTTCAACTGATAAAAGAAGGAATTATTCACATGAAAGCTGCAGCTCTCCCATGCTGTTTGTTTGGCCTTCACAGTGTTGTGTCCCAGTTCCCTGTTTCTCATGAGCAGCCCATTGCTTTTTTGCTTTGTAACAGCCCCTTCCATCGCCTGCTTCATAGATGTATTTGTTATTATTATCATGGAGCTTAACACTGGCGATGGGCTTTGTGTCTGGACTGACAGCGCTTTCTGCTGGAAGGAACCCAGCGGACCTAGACAGAATTACATCTTTTTGGGGGCTTTTTTCAATGACATTTCTCTTGGGACRCTCTGGAAAGCACCGGAAGGGGAAACGGGTTGTACTATTGAGTAGTTATTGTAACAGGCATTTAATGAATTTTTTATGCCTGGCATTATGCTGTGCTCCAGGCTCTCTTCGAGTTAAACAGAAAGTCTCTGTGTAGCTGTTACCAATATGATCACAAGTAGTATTATAGCAAAGTTGGTGGGGTTTTTTGTTTTATTTTTATTTCTTTTTTGGTTCATTTGTTTAAAATTAGCAACTGGCTAAACTCCTACCTGCTCTGAGCTGTATATTTGTAATAGTTCCACAGATTTACTGGATTACTGGAACTATTCTGAATTTACATTACGGCTACTAAAAGTAGAGATAGACGCAGAAGCTCTGTGTGTGAAACTCTGCCTTAGTCACAGGAATTTCCCTGGCTTTGAAAGCTGCATTACCAGCTGCTGGAATGAACCCGGCAGCATTAGGAGCTGTCAGACTGTTTCAGGGGCTCTCTAGCTTTCAGAAATCACTTAGTGGGAAGAAATGGAAGTGAGAGGGAGAGGGAAAAGGGAAGATGAGACTTGAGCGACTGACTATTCTGTATTCAGCTAAAACCGTATAGAGGGGAAGGGAAGCCCAAGTTAGCATTGAGACCGCAATGAATATGTGATCAAACATGAAATCATTTTTTTTTCCTAATGTTTCATAAACAGTCCCAGCTTGTAAAAATTATTTTTGTTAGTTTTACCACTTTGCAGCTGGAACACATCTCAGACAACTACGGTGTTTAATAAGCTACTTTTTGCAAGTCTTCTGCTTTGCTTTTGAGTCTTAATGTTAGTGGGTAAACCTTGGGCAAATGTGTGAAATAATGAAATAACGATGTCGATGATGCTGCCACTTACCACAGAGTAACTAATGCCAATGCTTCCGACACTGTGCACAATTCAGGTGAATTACATGTGTAACTGATGTATTAACAGTTTGTTTTAAAATTACATAGAGGTGAGGTCACTGTAAAGCTTTTTATGTACCCCAGATTATTCTGTAATGAAATAAATACGTACAAAACATATGCTCCCCCATAAAGATTCCTGGGTAATTGGTGTTTTTTGTCATTCCTTCCAAACAGTAAACTGCATTGTGTTTATTCTTATTATAATGCAAAGACAGAATCACTCGGATTATCCCAAAGGTTATCCAGTTAACCTTTAAGGTGAAGGAGTGCTTAGGAAATGCTTCTGGGGCTAAGCAGAAAGGAGTATTTTCTTTTCATGCCTTTTTGCACTGCAGTTGAGATCCATTTCACCATACCCTGGGTGTTGTGAAAGTGAAATATTCTGTACTGAAAGCACTTCCTAAAGTACACAGTACTGTAAGCTCTACTTCAGTTAATTTTGCTTCCTTTTTTTTCCCTCTCAATACGTTAAAATGCTTACATATAAAGGTTTCATGTAAATTTCGCCAGTATACTATATCACAGATGTTATATTTTTGACTGGACTAGTTTCATATCAGTGTAAGTAAAAGAATCATTCACAGTTTGAATTCAGTACATGTTTGCTCTTCCTCTTTTCTCTCATCAGGTGATAGTTTGCTTGGGATGAAGTCATGTAACTGCTTCGAAAGCTCCAAGATTCATAGACAGACTCGATGGAGTCTGACTTGGTATCAATTTCATTATTCCTTAGCCAGCCTAACATGTAAGCTGTGCCCATTTCAGTTTTCTCAAGCTTTCTTCATAAGACGCCAATTCTGCAGCCAGTTAAACCAGGATAAATATACTGGATAAATTTAGAATAGTTTTACCAAGTCTATTGGAAAATCTGTTGGTGGGCCGAGCATTTGGCCCATTCAAGCCCTGGAGTTTTCAGTCCATTATATTTAGTTGGGGGCCTGGATAGGAAGGGAAGGAGGCAGCTAATGGGATAGATGCAGTAGGCAGCCTCTGATTAATACCTCTTTGCAAGTACAAAGTACCTTTCTGTCATGGTTTACATCCATGTAGTGGGCTTCAGATATTCCAAAGGATTCCTGACGAAAACATCTGGAGGGTTAAAGTGTTGACTTGCAGTCACTTGAAGGGTAGGAAATTTTCCTGGAGAGGAAGGCAGGGGAAATCCGTCTGCCCCAAAAGGACTGTGCAAGGAATAAACCCTCAGATTCTGGGAACTCCCATGAAGTACCAAGTAATTAGMAGACAAAACAGCAATAATCAAGCACACGGAACAGCCGTGTCATCGAACACAAGTTTGCAATCTACAGACAGATGTACACATTGTGCRTGGGGAAAAAGTCAGCTCAAAT